TACCAAATCCTGGTTCAGGCAAAGCTCCTGGAGGTTGAAATTGGATGCTGCCAACTTGGGACAGAACTGTTGCAGGCAGATACAACAATGCAAGCAACAATTAGTTTCAGCCCAGTATCTTGTAACAAACAAAACAGATGAAGGATATTGTCCCTACCCTTTTTAGGAGCTTTTTGTGGATAAGGATGAGCTGCTTTTCTCTTTGGGCGCGGGGGAGGTACATGTTCACTTGTCCCACTCTTCTGGACCTTCAGAAAGTATTTCTGCGCATGGCTACGTATCTGCATAGCTTGCTTTTTAGCATATTGACATATATCAAAATATACAGCATATTTCGTTAAGTGTGCCCAAATATGTGAAGCAACTGGCACTATGTTTGCCCCCAGATATTAAGCCGATGCTAGCTTGTCCTGACATACAACAGTTGTTTCTCTTCCAATAATTCTTGTATACTCTAGCTAAAAGAGAACACATTCGGGAAACTATGTGAAGATTGCTCCTCATCAACTACAATGATGTGTATACTATTAAGGGCTCTTGTAAACGTGTGAGAAGTTATTGAAATGACAAGCTTTTAACTAAGCACACTTTCTAAGCAGATTGCCTTGGGCCAGCATAAGATAAACAAAAAATAAGGAACAAAGACTCCGATGATTCTCTTAACTAGAACGGACTCGAACACAAGTATCATGTGAAATGCAGATGGGCAAGAAAGAAATAACAATATTGAGAATATCTTTTATCGAACAATTACTTTCTTATATATATATATAAGAAAGTTATTGCATGTTCGCAATAACTTTCTCTTTTGATAAAGGTAAGATATTATTGATAAACAAAAAGCACTAAGGAAGTGCAATAGAAGTCTAAAAGTAGTGCAAAGCATGTCTAACAGAAAATTTACATCATTTACAAAAGCCTGGTTGCACCAAAAGGATAGAAGAATAATAGACCGATGTTTAAGGCTAAGTACATTTTCCTTTTTGCCTTAAAAATTCTAAAGTTCCTTTCTAACCACCTGTCCACCAAATGGCAGCAGGAAGATAGGGGTAAGTTTGAGCCCAAAGAAAACATTAGGGGCATTTGTAGCCCAAAAGGTTAATGGAGGGTATTTTTGAGGCATTTTCAATACATTAGGGGCATTTTTGGCCCTTTTACGATTTTATAAAAGCAAAAATTGCACAACTAGGATCTAACTTCTCTTAGGAATCAAAATATTCTCTCAATCTGAAGGTAAATTTTAGCCAGATAATTAGATACGGTTCTTTCTTCTCTACAGAAACATCAGATGTCAGATATTCTTTCAATCCACAAAAACAAAGAATAAATAAACAAATAAAAACCATCTGCTTAACAAATTACCTGGATAACAGTCTTCGACCCAACAAATGCTTCAATCTTTTTCCAATCACGATCGAAGCTGACAGAACAATAGGCACAAACTATTAGGATATGCATTCACTGCAACTCTTAAATTGAGATTTCAGAATAGAAACTACCCTATGATCCTAAGCTAGACCTTGAAAACTATCCCAGCCTTGTTTTCTCATTAATCTTGTTCAACTAGAGGTTGTGAGTGTTAAAACATAGCCTAGCACAGGAAGATCTGCAAATTTTAATATAATCTACGACAGAATAATCACTTGAAAGACTTCTTGCTTATGACAATATGACATTAAGGTTTGGTTTTAGTAAGTGCATAACATCACATATGGAATGATGAGCTTTTCTTCTCGGCTCCCACTTCTCCCTCCGTTAAAGCTTGACCAATAGATCGTTCCTATCCACAGTAGACTAATTTTTTTGCTTTTTAATAGTAGGTAGCTTTGACAGCCTACTTAAAATCAGTGCCACCAAGACAGACTTTGGATTTATGATGTTGCATATGTTAGAGTCGTATCCCCCTAATTCTAAATTTATGACCATCATAGTTGCAATATTGCTCCTTACCTCTGGTATCTAGCTTTCATTATAATAAGCATGTACCGTCAATGACAATTGGGGACAGTGAGCTATATTCAAAATGGGATAATGAGTTCTTCTTCCTGATTCCCACTTTCCATCCACTGAAGCTGGTCAGGAGATGGCGCCCATCTGGTATATCATTAAGACTACCTAATTTTTAATAGGTCACTTAATTCCATTTGCAAATGTTAGGAGTCCTAAGTCATCCATATGTGATATGCAACTGCGGTTCCATTGTTCTGCTCTAATTTAACTCACCTGCCTGTCTCCATTCTATTAATTTTACTTCTCTTTGAAGAAACTCATTTTCTCCATTTGAAAAGACAAAAAAGAAACTACACCACTAGAACCAATGTTATAATAATTACGCATTTCATCAACATAGTATAACCCAAAAAGTGCAAAGCTTCCATTTTTACCTCATTCCTGCTCAACTTTCCCAAGAACATCAAGTAATATTTAAACACACACACGCAAAACAAACCGATAAGGAAGAAACATCAGCAAACACAAACAAGTATTGCTAGCAAAAGAGAGAGAGAGAGAGAGAGAGAGAGAGACTCACAGCTGAAGAGCTTCAAGAAACTTGTCATGTTCCTGCTCAGTCCAGCTCTCTCTAGACTTGGTAATTGTATAGGGCTTTCGGGTCTTCTTGTTATGGTCATCGGGTACCACCAAACCCGAATTCGAATTCCCATGACTACTCGCTCCATTAGAACCAGATTGTATCGAATGCAAACCCGGAAGACCCATTTTCATCGGATCCCCCATGTAGTAGAAATCTTGACCCGCTGGTGGTGTTGGATATACAGACACCATATGTGTATGTAGCTCTATCAACCAAAATTTCTGAAACGCTACAGCAACTTTAGAGGTTTGTGTGTGTTTCTGATTTATTTCTGGTCGTGAAATAGAAACATGAGAGAGAAAGGTCATTTATATATGGAGTGTCTGATAAAGAAATGACGTAACCGACATTATTGTAATGGAGGGAAATTTGTGATCGAGGACGTTCACGTGTAGTAAACTGGAAGGTGGAGATGGGTTTCGCATCTCTTGACAAATGGCAGGTTCTAGAATTGTCCTAGGCCGTTAAAATTTAAAAAGATTTCATTTTCCAACTTTCATTTACTACGCAGTTTCTTTTTTTCCCTCGATTTAATCATCTATTATTCAAATAGTAAACCATATCAATCCGAATTTGGGTTGAACATAATAATAAAGGAATTATTTTAATCTTAAATACTTTTTATTTCAAAAAATCAAGAACTGAGACCTAGAGTTTGCTAATTCATCTTTTGTTAACTCTAAGAAGACGCCATTGTTTTACTTTTTCTTTTTCCCCGCCCATTGGCTCCTCAGGACTTCAGCTTATAAACAGTACAGCTATTGCTGTTTCTGGTAATCAGTTTAGAAAAGTTGGGCGCTCAAGTGTCCAATCCCATACTATATTAAGAACTCACGTGTATATTGTCTCCACGTTTTTGGATCAGTTAAAGTTCCACCTGGTTTAGGATAGGATTGCCACCCTATTAGGAGGCAAAACAAGGATAATTTAGAACGAACCCATCGGAAAACATCTTTGCTGAATTTTCTAGCATCCCCCGTTTCACTGTCAAAAACAAACCATCTAATATGTGTAGATGTTGTCAGATAAAAGCGGATTCAAAATGTCTGGGCGGACCTGGACGCAACAGTACAACTTCTGATAACTCTGCTCCTTAAGGTTTAAGGAGATGAAAAGAAATCACCTAGCAATATGTTTTTGCTTATGCTAGGACGTAAACCTTAGTCTCACATAGTATTCATTCCGTTTCATTGACCTTTGGTCAAAGCTTTTGGTGCTAAAGGGATTCAAGATTTTAAATAAGCAGTTATAAAGTATCACTATATTCATCACTCTTTACTCACAAAGCATGCAAATTTCATTAGAACGCAACAGTCTAAACAAAAAACAAGATAAATCAGCCATTTTCATGGGGGGGAAAAGATCCCTGATAGGAGGCAATAATGAAAGCTACATTAAAAACATACAACTCTTGCTTCAACTCTTGACTCAATGCCTTACAAAACTACTTGTGGTAAATATTCCAAAAATATCAGCATAGCATATTTTAAAAATCATGCGCAATGGCTCAAAGACACTGCCTAGTCAAGCCATCTAGTGATACCATCTTCTCCAACCGCTGCTAGTACTTCAACGCGTACATCCAAAACGGCCTGCAGGTTGCAGCGATGACAACATCAAAATATAGGTATTTCTATAGTGGACGATAGAGAATAAGCCTTATTAAATAACTGATTCTTACAACAGAAGTAGTATTTCACTTGATTAGAACCGAAGTTCAAAAAGGAAAGGGGTCAGGTAGAGATGTTTTGGAGAGAGTTTTAGAAAAATGAAAAAGCGATGTTCTGGGACATTGTTATTACCAAAATAGTTACAATATGTGACTACCATATGATGGGGCAGGAACCTAGTTCTGAATGTCTGAAGCAGAACAAGAACTTACCAGAGGATTCCTACAGTTCACTAGTCGACATTCTTCCATAGTACCTTCAAATGTCCAGCTTTCCCAAACATCAAAACTGTGACTCGCAAATACAAATTCCATCCTCCTATTTATCTGCAATATCAGGGTCAGGGTGACACCACAGCTTTTATGTGATACAATAAAATCAAGCAAGGTGGTAATCCACAAAAGAACGGAGCAACAAATGTGCATCTAATTCCAATTGAATACCTGAATACGTCGACCTCTAACATTGACAAATTTAGAACTTTTCCAGCATAAAACTTCCCACAACTTTTGGAAAGAATAAATTCTTAGCCGCAAGTGTTGGCAACTTGCCATAGGAAATGAATTTCTATGATTCTATCATACCCAACTATTGATCTAACTTCAACATGGAGAAAGTATTCAACATACTACCAAAATTAAGGACATAGAACAAGAGCACTTTGAAAGCTACGGCATCTTTGCGGTGAGGGGTAAAAAAACACATTTCTACATATAAAAATAGGAATTATTTTGATGAAATAAATATAACAATTACTAATCCACACTTGGCCCGGACACAGATCATTAAGAAAAACAATTACTCATCCACACTTTTATACTCAATTATTTATCCAAGTGAAATAACACGTAAATGATCTCAAACTTCCAGTTTCTAGCATGTGTAGAAGCAAGAGCAACAACTTAACGTTATAAGCTTTTGCAGTTTCTTAATGGTTAAGCACAATAGAAACCCAAAATACTGCACCCAGAGGTAGCATAGCTCAAGGATGTTTTATGACAAGTACAGTGATAAACATACCTGTAATAACTTCCCACCAGCAGTAAATGATCTCAACCCAATTGTATCCTGAAATAGAGCCTCAGTTATTAAATGTGTTTGCAAGGCATTCATTTAAGGAAATATTTTTGAAATCTCGCACAAAATCTTTCCAACAAAACGTGTTTAAATTTTTTCAAGAAGTTTCTGCAAATAGTTTTGCTTTTAACTATTGTTTTTTCGGTAAAAATGGCTTAATGGTGCTGTCAAAGAAAAGTTCTTCTACTCACGAACACTCACATTTAAAGAAATAAACTATAACCATCCAAACATAATATCTTTTTTTTTTTCAAAACATTTTCCAGAAGTGGTCCAAATGGCACCCAAAGCACTATGCAGATAGTTTGGCACTATCTGAAAGTAGAGGGCAGCGCTGCCGTAAATGGAAAACCACATTTCTTATCAGCATACCTTGCTTCTAAAAACCACAAGGAACTGTGCTGCTGGGTCTCTTTTTGTAACATCTGACATTGTGTCGAGGAACCAACCACCCCCTTTAACTCTTTGTCTGGAGACATGCAAAGCAGGGTGATGTCTTGCATGTAAAGCTATAATATAACCATCCTTCAGCAGTTCCGCAGATTTTCTGCTGAGATCCATGCCTTTTTTCGGGAGCTGCACCCCTGATGAATCCTGTATTGATTCAATCTTCCTACCTCTTAAATCTTCTGGAGAAGCAAATCGTGAACTGGAACTCACACCTTGATCTGTTCCGCTCATCGTAGCACCATCTTCATGGTGTGACGTACTCTCCTTTTCAAATGCCAAAGAATCATCTACTTTGTGCTGTGATTTATGGCGCCCATGCCGCTTTTTAGCCTTTTTACCTGATCGGCTTCGCTTTACTTCAGATCTACCAGAACTATTTTGAGATACTATGGAGCCTTGAAGCTGACTAGGTGATTCCCTCGAGTCATTCACTAATCTTTTCTGAGAGTTCTCTGCAACATCTTCAATGGGTTGATGACTAACAGAAACCTGCAACGTGCTTTCAACATCTTGTATTTGGTGTCGTTCGTTTTCATACCCTATCTCGCTTTCTTCTTCATCGTCAGATACAGAATCCTTTGGAGCAACACCATCCAAGAAGAATGATTGCAGCATAGAAATAGCTTTCTCCCTTATTTCCATCCACACTTCTTCACTATAATCTGCGCTGCGTGGCAGTATCAGAACATTGGGCATCTCCCTTACCTAATCCAAAGATACATCGACTTCCGTCAATTAAAAAAATCTAATAAAGACTAAATTTCACATCGCATATTCCTGATATCAAATTAATATAAATCCAAGAATCCAATGTGACAAATAGATACCACCAACATTTTAAATCTCCTGCTAATAATCATCAATCCTGCCTCTACTGAAAACAAAGTGGTGAAAAAAGAAAAAAGGACTGAACACTTCTTGAAGTCCAAGGGTAACCAAAACTTGAATTCAACAAAGTAAATCTACCAAGAGCTCCACAGACGCCAAACCAGGTACACACAAATATCAGAAAACTACAAAGTCTTAGTTAAATGAGCTCATAGCGTCACACAGTGGCGGAGGCAGGATCTCCATGAAGGGGGTTCAAGAAAAAAAAATATCGTAGCTAGTGGGAATTGAACCTATGACCTTTCAAAGATTTTGAACCCCCTTGACCACTAAGCTACACTGTTGGGCTGTGTCAAGGGGGTTCAAAACTTAATATATAGAGGTAAAAAACAGATTTTTCCTTATATATACAGTGTAATTTTTCGGCGAAGGGGGTTCGGGCGAACCCCCTTCCGTCCCCCTAAATCCGCCCCTGGTGTCACATAGTCGATAAAGCTTCTTACAAACAACTTCACTTAATACCATATAGTAAATATAACGTGAAAATTCTAAATTTTGAAGAAGCTACTTTTGGCTAGTAATACTTGGGAAAAGATCTAATACTATCAACGTAGCCCTATCAAATGTTAGGTAGCTTACACATATTACAATCATGAATTTTCCAGAGTTTTTCGTTCCCCTTTCTTCTAGTAGCTTAAATTAGTAAAAGGCAAAACGTTATAGAAAATAAAATAGATTTTCACAAGAGTCTAGTGAATTATCAAAATCAATGTTTAGGAAGGACCCCCAAATTTGATAGTGAATAATAGTCAAAAAGCTATTTACTCTTAAACAAGTATATCTCTAGAAAGTAGAACATTGCCAAAAAGTCACAAGTAAGGCCCAACCCTAACTACTTTAAAGGCCTTTCAAATGCAATAATAGAAAATATTACAAGGAAAAAGAAATAACAAAAGAAGAAAAGAAGATAAAAGGCAACAACATTCAGGTTGCTGACTTGGGTCATAACCTTGTCATCCTGAAGAGAAGATGAAATGTCAGCTCTCTCACCCAACTCCAACATATGGAGCATAACAAGAGAAAGGAGTTGAGGGAAACTTCAGAACAACTAACCAACTCAAAAGCGTCCAGAATCCCTTCCCCTCAGGCCTCACCATTAATCTCTCACCAAAACAAGTGTTCTGGAAGGCAACTTCCTTGACAAGGTAAGGATGACTGCTAGACCACACCAGACATGTTCTGGTTGCCTCATTGTATATACACTAGGTGG